ATTTATTGAGCCGTCACCCCATAATTACGTATCTCATTACTTGTTCGTTTTGCTCTAATATTATATATTACAAGTCTGATCTTTCAAACAGGTTATTCGATCAAGCATGGACGAGTCGCCATCTAATCTCATTAATATTTCGAACAGCATTGGATCAACAACGAAGATTCCCATCCTTTACACCCAAGATTATGAAGTCTTGGCAAATCACTTTGAAGACTATGTTATAGGATCTGAGGACAATGGATACCTCATCTAGGAAGCAATCGTTTCAGGACCCTTTGCCATTCTGCAACTTCAAGGATTATTAAAACTCAAACAGAGTATAATGATCTTTTGAAAGACGTTAAAGATGTTGCCCAAGACGAAAAAGATAAATTTCAGTGCAATATTAAAGCATTGAGATTAATCAGATTCGCTCTTCAATCTGACACTTTCAGGCTGGTGAGTTCATGCACTACTACCAAAGAAATATGGGACAGGCTTCGCGAATTGTATTCTACGGATGAAGATCTTGAACACTCCATTCAAACCTTACTCTTATCCGAGTATGGTGAATTCAAGCAGAGAGTCGAAGAAACTGTGACTCAAACGTTCGATCGCTTCAATCATCTTCTTAGCAAGATTGTCACACCCAAAACCAAGAACAGCGAAAAGTTCTGGGGCGGAGGACGTCATGTAAGTATCACAACACAATAAATGTAAATAAGCATACAACATCATCCATTGCATTAAATATATAATTTTAATACAAGTGTGTTCTGTACATTATAGACACCAAAAATAACGTATATCAAAATAATAAGATGAGTCTTGAATGCGCTCCATCTTCTCAAAAGCTGGCCTCGGTACCTGTCTACTGATGACCTGAGAATACAAGTTATTTTGAAAGAGTTTATCAGCATTAAGCTGGTGAGTTCATAAGTATTTTTGTGTCGGTATTTGTCATCCAAATGTTTGAACATGTATAAAGTATAAGTTTGTAAAATGTACGTAAAGATTTGCAATTATTTGTAAAAGTTTGAATCTCTCAGAAAAACCTATATTTTCTATTAAAGTAGCCTTCTACCAAGGCTTAACTGTTTTGTATGCTCATTTGATGTAAAAGTGTGTAATTTCCCAAATGTAACTATCATTTAACAAAATATAGTTGTACATAAACGTTTAAGTGAGGTTATCACTAAAAATATGTAATGGGTAAATTATTGTAGTACTGTAGCCTTGTATTATAAGAACTACTGCTGTACTAACTACCTTAAACCGGATTTATATTAAGGCATTACGTGATAAATTGCACCATACTATCGACTAGTAACAACGACAAATGAATGGTCGTAATAACGGAATGACGTTTGGCACCCGCAGACCTGCAGGTCCGGCTGTAGCTAGCAGCAAGGTGTAGGATTGTCAATCCAGTATAGATCTATACGCAAACTCACGCTCTCCCTTCAAGAGAATTCTGGCTACAACTCGAGCCATGACAGTTAAGTCATGCTCCGATTTAAATCACAATAATAAAGTATTCATGTATATGTACTGTTTCTCGTTCTAGTATATGTATATGTATTGTTTCTAGCATCATTGTACATGTATTGTTTCTAGTATATGTATATGTATTGTTTCTAGCATCATTGTATAAGTATTGTTTCTAGTATATGTATATGTATTGTTTCTAGCATCATTGTATATGTATTGTTTTATGTATTTGTTACCCCGATGGTAACTAACTATTGATGTACTGATAAATATGAATATGGAAGTACTTTTATGTCTATACATGTATATATGATATATAACTAATGTTGAAACGACCTTCGGATGGTCACCCAAATCCCACCAGACCACATCTCAGTGCGCGAAAAGGAAATAGGGCGGATGGCCTTCCTAAGCCCTTTAAACATTACTTATATATATACATATATGGGCATGCAATTTATAAGAAGTAAAACAAAGTTTAATAAAAGCATTTGATAAGTAATAAAACATGTGATTAAATGCAATCAAATGTGATTGAAGCAATAACTATAAGTATTTGACTTGTATTCCCCCCCATAAAGTATTTAAAACATTTAAAATCATTTCAAAGGTTGATTCAAGGGGTATGAACTCACTTGTGGTGAGTCGTTTGAATTGCAGTGTCGGATACCGTGCTAGGTGGCAAACGGAGACTTGTTTACTCGCACGAGCCTAGTTATCATATAATAAGCATATATATAACTAATTAGACAAATAATAACTTAAATAAATAAGTTAAGACACTTAGGAAACATGTAAACACTTTTATGAGTGTTTAAGGTTCAAATGGTTGCATCTAAGTTGCTACGGGACAAGGCAAAAGGGTTTGAAACATCAAATGGCCTTGCATAGGAGTTCACCACCCAACAAACCCACACCTTGGAGTTTACGGCCGTAAACTCATGGGTTTATGGCCGTGAACTCCTCAAAGGGTGGTCTTGGGTGTTTTATGGTGCTATCTTGATCCTAGAACACTCCTAGCTTTGTTGGAATAACACATGAAGTAGTTTAAGGCTCTAGAATACCCCATAGTGGAGTTTTCGGCCTAAAGTCCATTCACCCTAGAGTTTACGGCCGTAAACTCCTATGGGGTGATGGCTTTTAATTGTTTTGAGGCTCTTACACATCAAGGATGGCTTCCATGAATTTATCTAAG